AATTTTTTTTTAGATAATAAATATATTTTTTTTTATCAATAAATAATTTATCAAAGGTAGTTAATAGTTAACTTTGAAATTAATTTTTTTTGACTAATATTTAATTTATTAAACACATGGTATTAATAATTTAATAATTTTGATTATGAATCTGGGTTTTGTTATCATTCGTTAATTGACAGGTACATATTTCCACCGCAACACACCAATTAAAATGAAGAGGATTCATCGTAATGAGAATAAATTCGGCTAGATGCCAGGCACAAATTTTGTCTCTGACTGCATTAGCAATTTAATCTTTGATGATATTAATAATGACAATTTAACAAATTAAATTATACTCCTTTTCGACTTGCTGTGTCCTATCACAGTGACTTATTTTATGAAATATTTTGATAAAGAATGACAATATGATAATATATTTCAGGAGTTGATTTATCTTAAAATCAGAGATATTTAAATAACCAACTGTCTAAAATGTCACAGTAATCACTCATATCTTAAATTATAAATAATAATTGGTATTTAAATCTGATATTTACAAATATATTAATTATATCGATTCAGACCAGGTAGAAAAATTAACATTACTAACGTTACTAATATTACTAACGTTACTAATGTTACTAACGTTAGTACCTATAAAAAAAATTAAGAAACTGTTTCTAAATTGTATTTTTGCAGAAACTTGTCGAAAATCACTTGCACTTTTTTATTTTCATTACCGTTTCCACTTTCACTTTTTCTAATTCTCATTCCCATTTTCACTTCCATTTTTTATAATTTTCATGCCCGTTTTCACTTCCACTTTTTCTAATTCTCATTCGCACTTCCATTCCCACTTCCACTCTTTCTAATCCTCATTTCCACTTTCACTTCCACTTTCACTTTTTCTAATTTTCATTCCCATTTTCACTTTTTTATTTTCATTACCACTTCCACTTCCACTTTTTCTAATTTTTATTCCCACTTCCCTTTTTCTAATTTTCATTCCCACTTCTACTCCCATTTTTTCCACTTCTAATTTTCATTAACTATTGCCATTTCGACTAAAACTCTTTCTAGTTTCCATTTACACAACCATTTCCACTTTTTTTAATTACAATGGATGGAAATTAGAAAAAGTGAAAGTGGTAATGAAAATTTAAAAAATAGGAATAGAAGTGGGAGTAAAAATATAAAAAAGTTGTAATGAAAATAAAAAAGTGGAAGATGAAATGGGAATGAAAATTGGAACAAGTGGAAGTGGAAGTGAAAGTGGGAATGAGAATTAGAAAAAGTGGTAGTGGCAATGAATATAGAAAACTGGAAGTGGAAATAGGAATGGGAATGAAAAAGTGGAAGTGGAAATGGGGAATGAAAATTAGAAAAAGTGGAAGTGAAGTGGGAATGAGAATTAGAAAAAGTAGAAGTAGAAATGTGAATGAAAATTATAAAAAGTTTAAGTAGAAGTGAAAGTGGTAATGGGAAAGTAGTGGCAAAGTTTCCGTGAAAATATATTTTAGAAACTCTTAATTTTTTTTATAGGTACTAACGTTAGTAACATTAGTAACGTTAGTAACGTTAATTTTTTTACCTGGGAAAATTATTATAACACATCTGCTTAAAATTATAAATTCAACTTTTGTTGCTACTTTTAAGATAAATTACGAATTTAAAGGTAGTCTAGTAGGTTCAATGTAAAAGCAATGTAGAGTCAAAGTAGGTTAAATTTATTGTTAAGATAGTGTCAACAATTATGACAAAATGAAGTTAATTTTTCACACTATAAGAGAGTAATTGAAATTCACGGATACTTGAAACAAATTATAATGTAAAGTTTGACTGGAGAGACCAAAGGATAATATTTATTGAAACAGCAGAATATGGTTTAGCGATAGAGCGCTAGATGTAAAGAGGTTCAGGGGGTTGTAGAGCCGATAAGGGTTTGCCAGCTATACACGTTAACGACTATGTAAATTGACGGGTCTATTTATTCGTCGCATCGAGGGATGAAGACATCAGAGGCTAATTTTAGTCCCGCACACGACGACCAACGATTGGTCTTTCACAAAATTATGCTAATTTCTTTTTTTTTGTAAACGATTAAATAAAAATATATTACATTTCTTGTTGATCCCTTTTATTAATTACAATAAAAAAATTCTTTTTTTTTCCAAATAGAAATTATCATAATTATTTCATTTTATAATCATAAAATATAATTGTTAATTTGATCGATCATTACGATTAGTAATTGAAATATTAGATATATCAACGATTTTTTCGCGAGGGAAAAAAAAGTGATTTTAAAAAAAATTATTAAGAGAATAACTTCGTCTTGAGTAATCTATTTTTTTCCAGGCTATTAAAAAAAGGGTGTTTGAAAAGATCGTGCTTTAAGAAAATCGTTGCTGCGTCACACTACGGAAGAATCATTATAATGAGAGACTGGTAAAATTGTAATCCGATCGAGGGCATCGATCCCAAAGTGAGAATGGTGGTAGGGAATAGTGCAGTAATCATTTTCCAAGGTATCGTGTCCCTCCTTCGTGTCGGTTATCCGAATTGGGTTCGAGGAGGTCTCGTTCTAAAGTCGGAGAGAGAGAGGACACAAACACTCTCATTCACTATGATGAGAGGGTTGTAGGGCCTGGGACAAAGATGGATAGGTTGTCAGAGAGAGAGAGAGAGAGAGAGAGAGAGAGAGAGAAAGAAGGAGAGAGGAACGTTGCTAAAGAAGAAGAAGAAGAAGAAGAAGAAGGGTTAAAGGGGTGGGGATGTAAGACGAGGAAGATCGGTGGTTCTCTCTTTCTCTCTCGCACTTTGGAGGATGCATGAGAGACTGCTCCAGACCGTGGAGAGCGGAGTGAGGGTGCCTTGGGGTTCATTATTCAGGGCTATTGATTTCCATCCAACTCCTACTACCACAGCCTGCCCTACGGCACCAATACCAACGAGAGTGAGAGGAAAATGGGGTATAGAATGATAGGGTGAGAGAGTGAGTGAGAGAGCCAAGTGATAGAGAGAGATTGACGGGCGGTTCGCGAACTCCCTTTACCCCGTGGAACCGTTCTCTCTCTCTCCCTCTCTCTTACACTCTCATCTCTTCTCTTTCCCTGACGCTGTGCCGCATCAACCTACATTTTGACTGACGTGTGCTTAAATCAAGTGCGCCTATTTAGAATGACTCTACAACAAAAATCATTGCCATATTGGTCATCTAAATTTGTTTCGCACATTTTTTGGTTTTATTTAAATATATCTCTCTGAAATGTATTTTTCACAAATTTTTTAAACATTTTTAGCAGTGGTTGTTATGGTAACAGTTGCCATGGAAACTGTTACCATGGTAACGCTTATTACGGTAACGGTTGCTATGAAAACAATTACCATGGAAATGGTTGTTATGATCCAATAGTTCAAAATTGTGATAAAAAAAATTTTATTTTTACAACAAATCTTATTTATTAGTTCTGCATTAACAATCCGATTATTGGATTTAACAATTTCTTTTTATGAATAACCAGAGGGTTAATGGAATTAAATTAGATTTTTCTTTTTTTTTTTTTGTTGAAACGCTTGAAACTTGGTTTTAAAGGAAGACTTCAGGAGTGTTTAGAGAATCAGATAAATAAATTACTTGAGAGCAGAGAGCACACATTTATTTGAAAGTAACTTTATCCTTTTAAACATTTTGGCGGATAGGGAATGTAGAAGGGTGACTTTTGCAAGTGAAGTCTTCGTATATACAAAGAGTGAGAGAGAGAGAGAGAGAGACTTGCTTTATCTTTTCCTCAAAAAGGTAAGGGTCGGAATCCCCTATTCGTCGATTTCAACGTAGGTCTTGCTGAATTTTCCAAAGTTACAGAGTGAAACTTGGAAACTTCTAGTCTCATAACGATGTACGGTCCACAGAGGCTTCTTTCGTGAAATTCTCCACGTTCATTCTTATCGTGTCTGGTCCTTGATTTTTCTCCAAAGATCCATATATGAAGAAAATCTAATCTAAAATTCTGAATTGTCTATAAATAGTTGAATTTATATATATTATTGTAAGTATAAAATAATGCTTATACTTGACTTTATTTGCTTCATTAAAGTTGATAGTTTATATTTAGTGGATATCTAATTTGTATCTTACAAGACACTATTCGATCAAGATGAAGGGTAGACATCTTGATTAATTTGACGAAGTATAGTTCAACTAACCTAATTATTCTTAATTGCTATTTCAGTTAGCTTGCCAGTAGCTTCTTAAATGTTGTGAACTTGTTGACATTTTGTATACATATTACATTTTGGAAACTTTCCAATTGTTTTGTTGTCAACATAACCAATTTACATTATTGGGCAATAGATATATTTTTCGACAACGAAAGTTGCAATGAAACATTTTACATTTTCGATAATAAAACCACAAAATTATTTATTTTTTTTGTGTGAAAAAAATAGAATAAATATTTAACGACTATTAGGATATTGTATATAGCGAATTTTTTTGTCTACAGTCTTAAACCAAATTTTGCTCTTTCCACGTTCATTACTAATTTTGTACTCATCAAATATTTCGAATATTGATCGGATAAAACTGAGAGATGAGCATCACCTAGTTACAACATTTAGAAAAGAAACAGACAGATTGGGAATTGACATCTTTTTATGAATAAGAAACTAAAAAGCGGATGCTGAATTTCTTATTCAACTTAAGAAGAAGAAGATTGAAAATTCTCCGAAAAAATTTTTTTCAATCACTCCACTTGTACAAACAAAAAAATTACTTTTAAAAATTTTTAATTTCCTTTAAAATAACACATTTTTATCTAAAAAAAAAAAAAAAAAAAAAATTGTCTGAGTGGTCGGTTTCCTGGCAGATTACAAGTGACTCTGACAGCTATAGAATGTGAGGGGTACGCATATACTACGCGGATCGGTGGAATATAAGGGTGGTTATGGAGGGCGCCGGCGCGAGTCTATGCTCGCGAGACCTCCTCCGCGTGGTGGGCTCGTGACGTCAGATATCCTCAGTGTGCGGAGAGCGACCGCAGTGTACACCATCTCTACGTTTTTAGCATATAAGAGGACAGGCATTGTTTTTGCGAGTGAATAAAAGTTCGACGATCATTTTTTTTTCCTTCCCGCAATATAATTAGCCAAGAAAAAAAAGTGTCTTGTCTTCTAAAAAGCAGAACTCAAGAAAATTGGCGGGTCCGATTTTGTGAAAAAAAAATTTTTTCTTTTTTTAATAATCTGAGTCAATTCTTGATTAAGACGAGTCACGCGGTTAATAGAGGATTATTTGAGAGTGACCTCGAAAAATTCAAAGGGTAACGACGAGTGCGCGAATTGTTGTCATCGAACAAAAAAAAAAAGAAAGGGTTTTTTTCGAGGTCGGTGTCCTTGAAGGGGAGGGTATACCGGCAAAGATCAGCATCTTCGAGTGAACGTGAGATGCATCTTCATACGAGGTAACATTCCTCGTGTTCTCGACCGCCTCCGAATGCTTGCCGCATGATACATGAAGCTCTCAGCCTCTCAAGGGGCTTGCTGGAGCAATTGAGAAAGTTCGACCTTCTTGTCGAGAGGCGACCGAGAATTCGCACATGTTAGTGTTGGATTGTTCAATTGAGATTACTGTGGTGTTAAAATTCATCACTTGTTGTGGAAAATTTTGATTCAGTGTTTAGAGAAAATTTTTTTTTTGTATCTTGTCAGATTGAGTGAAAGAAATTTATTGATTTTCAATGAATTGTGTTGATTTTGTGATTAATTCAATTTGTGAGGAAGAAGTGATTTGATTTTTTTTTTTTTACAAAGAGAGAAAGCATGACAGTGAAAGAGCAAGGCCGGTGAAAACGCGTGAGATAAGTTTTCGAATCTCGATAATTTGTTAAATACGTGTGTTTAATTTCAAGGATTGAAAAGTTCTTCGTGGATTCAACGGATCCGCAAACACGCGGAATCAAGCAGACAGCGTGGAGCGCTCGGCGATCGTGTGGCCGCGCGCAGCGGATTTGTATCTTTATCAGCCAGGTATTGATAGAAAAAAAAAAAAAATTTCCAAAAATTTTATAGAAATAAAATTAATTTTTAAAAGATTCTCTTTTAATAAAAGTTAGTTTTTTAGTTTTCTGTAAAGAAAATTTATTAAATTAATTTTTAAACTATTTTCTTTTTTATAAAATCCAAAAAAATGATGATAATAATTCATAGTTGAATAATTTGTGTAAACTTTCGGTTATTGAAAATTTCCGGAGAGGAACCTTGAAATGTGCAATATCGTTGATCGTTAAAGAGGGTGTGATAAGCACGTTGATAGGTACTTAGAAATATTATCGTCGTTAAAAATATATTGTGGCTGTTAAGAATCTTGGCAGGTTTGTGCAATAATGTTTTTAAATTTTTTGAAAATAAATTTAATTTTTAATAAATAGAAAAATAACATTGTTTCGATTTATAATAAAATTGTCTTTTTTTCTTTTAAGAATTTTTTTCTAGAAACTAAATATATAATCAAGATGAAAGCAAACACAAGAAACAATTACATTCTACAAAATAAATTTATGAGACAGGTAGGACATTTTGCATAATTGACAATTACATCACGCCGCTACAGAATGTAATAACTTCGTATTCTGCACGAAGAGCGCACGTTCATACTAGTGGTAGTGGTACTTTTGCAATTTACTTTAGAAGCACAAACTTCGCAATTCGCGGGCGTTTCACTGACGGAAACAATGCCTAAACCAAAGTTTCAGACTTCACTTATACACACTGAGAAATCTACCTCCGACTGAACCTTTTTTGAGTTTGAAAGAGATGCTAAAGTTGCAGGTCTTTATTCTTTTTGAAAGAAACAGATCTCTGATCGAAATATGACATTTTGAATTTATTTCAATTTTTAATCAATTTCTATTTAAAGAAATCAAAAATGTTTGTTTATCTTTTAAAAAAGGATTTAATTAAGAACATTGATAAATAAATAAAGAATATCACGTGTCGTACAAGATATATATGTATATTTCATAGTGTGCGCATTTAGAGGAGTAAATAATTTAGAAAAGAGGTAGAAACTTGTTAATTAGTTCAGTAGAGTAATCTATAATTGAAAAGCCTTTAAAAGAAGGACTTTTCTTGAAGAAAAAGGGAAAAAGCTTTCATTGGCCAAAAGCGGAACATTAAGTACATTCAAGAAAGAATACATAAATAGGAAAGGAGTGAAGAAATGAGATAGGAAAAGAGAGAGAGAGAGAGAAATCCTATGCGCGCAGGGTTAAGACCCCCTTACACCGACGGGTGCGGGAGCAAATAGCACCGGCTCTTCGGTAATCTCGTTCCATGCGAAACGTCTGTCTATCCAAGCGGTGACTCATCTCGTTTCGTCCCAACGACCTCGAGAGCTAGGAGTTTTTGGGAGGATTTCCAAGGAGATGCCAGTGAGGATAAAGAAGGATAGTGGCGAGGAAACGAGAAGGCAACGCTCTGGGTAAAGTAGCTTGGAGGCCGATTAAATTTTCGCGTTTTCGCGATGCCGAGGTCTATCTCTCTCTATCTCTCCCTCTCTCTCCTTCTCTCTCTCACTCTCTTTTTCTTCTCATGTAGCTGCTGGCTTGAGTTTTGGTTTTGGCAGCGAGCTCTGTTTCCCCCAGTATTTGCAATCGAGGCAGGTTACAGCCTGACCCGAATCCTTAAGCCAGACAACGGCCATGGAATGCCCCGACGGGCAAGCACGTAGGAGCCAGCCTGTGCCAGGATGATACGCCTTTCTCTTTTCTTCATTCTTTCTTGCAATATATGCGATCCTTTTCTCAGCTTCTTTTCATCCCACCTCTATACTGAATCTAATCTTATTACATTGCGGTGAGTTGGACGCTGGGATGACGCCTCGATTCGTTCTGAAACGATTCTTCTTTCCTAACGTCTCGATTTCACCCATGATTTCGTCATTGAGGGCTTTATTGCATTTTATCTTTTGAATCAGAGATTAATATCTTCCCTTTACTATTTCTTCTTAGAGCCAAAACTTGACTTTATCATTCCAATTGAGATATTTGTTTTTTTTTTTTGGTTCAAAAATTGTTTTCTAAATTTTATTTTTCTAACTTCGTTTTTTGAGAAAATCTAATGTCTGACTAAAAATATTTTTACTACTGATTTTATTTTTGCAATTATTTTTAAATTTTATGTCCGACTAAAACTAAATTTTTTTAAATATCAAGAATTTAAAAATTTATGTCTGACTCTAACTGACCTGTACTACTGACTTTAGTAGTATTATGAGAATTTGATGTCTGACTAAAAGTGATTTTTACTACTGAACACAATATTACAAAAAATTTGATTCTACAGACACCTAAATTAGAAGAATAGGAATTTATTTAGAATTCGGTTATAAAGCTGTTCTTTATTTAAAAATTGAAGTCTGACTGAAACTAGTTTTTACTACTAATTCTACTGTTACAGAAATTGTAATCACTTCGGCTGAATTAAGGTAAACATTACTACTGATTTCAAGACAAAAAACAATTAAAAACTAAATGTCTGACTGAAACTGTTTGTACTACTGATTTCAAGAAAAAAAGAATTTAAAACTAATTGTCTGACTAAAACTGTTTGTACCACTGATATTAAGAAAAAAAGAATTGTATAATACACTGTAAAAAGAAAGTACTAAAATAGAACCGATTTTAGGTATCAAAATAAAACCAAATGACAATTTAGTACCTAAAGTCGGTATTAAATTAATACCTTACGTTTTACAGTGTAGAAAAGAATAAAACTAATTGTCTGATTAAAACTGTTTGTACTACTGATTTTCGAGTGGCAAAAAATGCCCAACTATTTCTAAGTCAAATTATGTTAGAAATTAATTTATTTTTGACTGTGAATCTGTGTATTACTAAAACTGACTTTACTACAGATTTAAATAGAGAGCAACTATTTTAAATGTTATGTCTGACTTAAATTGATTTTTACTACTTACTTTTATATGTCCATAATTTATACAAGGCTTCATTGAAACTGTTCACTTCTATTGATTTTAATATTACAAAAATGTATCTGATTAAAACTAGTTTTCACTACTGTTTTCGGGGTTAACCAAAAATTTTAAACTTTATCTGACTCCTAGTGAGTGAGAATTAAATTGTTTTTTCTTTGACTGTAATTCGATGTCCGACTAATACTGACTTGAACTACTTACACCATCTGACAAAAATTTAAAACTTTGTCTGACCTATACTACTGATTGTATTGTTACAAGAATTTAATTCTTTGTCTGACTAAAATTGACCTTTACTACTAATTTTAGTATTAATTTTTTTTAATGCTCTATCTGACTTAAATAATTTAATTTAAGTTTGACTGTAATTATATGTCTGACTAAAACTGATTTTTACTACTCACTACAATATAACTAATCTGACACACAACTAAATAAGAAAAATATTAATAAACCTTGGGTCACAAAATTATACTTTAACTAAAATCATATGTCTGACTGAAAATAGTTTATACTACTAATTTTAATGTTAATGATACTTTTGTTGCTTTATTCTTATAAGTAGATTAAATTAATAAAGTAAAAAAATTTTCAAAAATTAAAAAAAGACTAGAATAAAATTTTAATGAAATTATTAAGTACATGAAGACTAAAAGTTCTTCTTTTTTTTTTGTCTCTCTTTCTTTTTTAAAATAAAATATAAAGAAAAAGCTGAGGCAACTGATAAAAGCTATCAAGTTATTTGTTGAGCGACTAAAGAAAAGAAAAAAATAAATAAGAAGTAAAAGAAAAAAATTGAAGATGCATTCACGAGGGAGTGCAAAAGCGTCTAGCGAAGGTGACATTGTGTTTTCGCAGCACATTTCGTTTCAGTATTATGGGGACTTTTAGTATTCCGGGTGCAGTGCGAACGAGATGTTGGTAAAGAGTCTCACTTGTTGGTGTCTGGGGACATGGGACATTGGACGTGGGACAAGAGCGGAAAGATGGAGGTAGAAGGTGGAATAGTAGTTGGCGGTGTGAGGGTATCGGACTCGAAGAGACATTGGGAAGTGAAGTGAGTGCGCCGTGGTCAGCCCGGACGGTCCCTCGGGAGATTTCTGGACCGCACTCCTAAATCAGGTTTCATTCCCCGGCGGGTCTCTCTCTCTCTCTCTCTATTCCCTTTACTCCTCTCTCTACATTGTGACCAGTGTTCTAACAAAATGAGTTTCAGAATCAAATTTTTTCTCTTGCCGAATTAAATCAACTGATGTATATATAAGTCTAATCAAGTTGTTTTTAGATTTTTAATCTTCGATTTTTTTTTATTTTTAGCCTGCAAAATAAACCTGAGCAATAAACTAAAACCAATTTATTGTATATTTATATTAAAATAATTATTTTATTAGGTTAGGTTTGCTCATATTTTGAAGAAGAATTAAAAATGAGTTGTATAAATAGAGAGATTTTTTTTTCCCCGATATAAGAATTTTGAAGATTCATAACTGATGACTGGTAGTAAGAACTTAATCGTGCGAAGGAATAGTAATAAAATTGGCAATAGTACACACATAATAAGAATATGCATTATTCTTCTGCTTTATCGCGCTGCGAATAGTGAAAAACTAAAACGAAACCTCTATTTCTTTCTCTCTCCTTTTTACCTTTGAGTCGTGGCCAAAACTACAGAGAAAATTAAAAACGCAGCCCCAATTTTCTATTTGGCAACGTGAATTTTAAAGCTACACTCACAAGACATTTCTTATTATTCATTTCTCTCATTTGTTTGGAAATTCTCTTTATGATTTACTGATTATACTATATATATATATATATATTCTCCACTTTAAACTTTCAACATTAAATATTTGATAAAATAAAAAATAATTTTTATTACCTAATCAAACAAAATTAATGGAATTATTAAAATATTATTCCTTAACAAATTTGAAATTAATTGAATATTGGATTAATTATATATATGGTAAAGTGGAAAATTATAATTAAATTGTCAGAAGCAAATTTTAGCAATGCAGGAGAGAGAGAGGTA